AATTAATCTCCTGAGAAACAAAGGGAGGCTTCTAATCAACACAGGACAGAGAACAAGCCATGGCACAACAAGCATGGTAATAGCAGGCAGATAAGACAGATAATTGTAGATGCTGCAAAGACAAGATTCCAACATTCAGTCGCTATAGTCGAACTCAGACATAAATGATAGATAGCAGGGGGTCTGCAGTTGTTCCAAGCAGTGAAATTGGGCGAAATTGGAAAGTTTATTTGTGATTCACAACACATGGTCCACCACCATGCTCCGTCAATTGTACAGTTATCTTGGACTGATGTGCAACCGCTGCCAACACAAATAATTCATTGGCTCTTTTAATCTGTTTCACATCTCAGACCTCAGCTGAGAAAAAATACTGTGTGTTTGTCTCTCTCACCTTTGTGTTAACATGGCTTTTTCTGACTCTATCTATAAGGACCCAGCTGTGAGTAAATAACACCACATTTGTAAGGGTTTAGATCAATGCCCCATCGCACACACTTGTTCTTTATCTTACTAAGTTGGGCAAACATACAAAGACATTCAATCTTGAAATAGAGACAGTATAAAAAGGCCCAGTCTCTTTGTTTTGTAACTTTGTATGTTTTTTTCTTCTTCCTACCCCCCCACCCCCCCCACCCCCGCTTTATGACTACGCTTGACATATTCCTGCCATCTTTGGCTTACAGGACATTACACGCATGAATCTTGACGTGTATAGGACTTGTGTGACTGTGAGTGAATATCTCTTGGACAGCTGGATTGTACTGATAGGTTCTCTCAACTCAGGGAGACTGAATAATGTGTGCAAAGAGGAGTGATCCATCCTCTAGTCCATTACCAAGGCTGAAAGATTGCTAGGGAAGAAAATAGGTATGCTGTGTGTGTGTGTGTGTGTGTGTGTGTGTGTGTGTGTGTGTGTGTGTGTGTGTAGGTGTGGCTGGCCTTGTTTTAATCTATTGTGGGGTCTGAAAACCAGGAGCCCACTATAATTGTGGGGTCTGAAAGCTGCTTTGTGAACACCAAAATGCTGGAGCCCACAAGTGTAAATGGCTGTTTGATGGTTTTAAACATTCAGGTTAGAATAAGGTTTAGGTTGGGGTTATGCATTCAGTTGTGATGTTTAAGGTTAGGGAAAGGAAAGGGGCTAGGGAATGCTTTTCTGTCAATGACAGGTCCCCACAAATGTAGTAAGACAAGGACGTGAGCGGTGTGTTTGTGTGTGTGTGTGTGTGTGTGTGTGTGTATGTGTGTATGTGTTCACATATGCACTGAGGTTCCTGTCAGATGTGACATTCCTCCAGAATGTTCGATCGACATGGAAAATAGAAGCCTCTCTCTCTATCGCCCTCTCTTTGCCAGCTTCCTTTCATCCCTCTCTTCCCCTCCCCTCTCGGGTGAGAATTGCAAAATCAATAGAGCTAAATGGAGTTGCCACGGAAGCCATTGAGTGTCCTTTCTAAGTGCTGGAGGAACAAGGACAGTAAGATGCAGCTGTGACAACCCACAGTCACCTTCTTCTTTCTATCCAAACCAAAACTCTTCTCTCAACAGTTTCTATCACTGTCTGAGCTTACCCATGATTCAACACTAGGTTATTTGTCACTAGGCAGTGTAGCAGCTCCTAACCTTAGTCGTCTTATGTTTGGTCTAGTTATTACTACATCACATAGTATAAATATGTAATTTGAATATTATAAAAGTCATAGATTGAATAACATAAATAACCACAGGTAGTTGTGAGTAAAAAAGAAAAGTGTGTGATCTAACAGTGAGGTTAGATATTATGTTTTTACAATTGTCACTTATTCCATGCATTAAGCTCTATTTATTCAGTTTCAAGTTTCACTGAGGTCAAGAGCTCTTACAAAAGAAACCAGAGAACACATTACTTTACATATACACAACATTATAACAAGACAGTCACACAAGCCAACTAGCAGATGCCACTGCACAAGGTAAACTGACATTACACTATGATCTACAGTAGCACTGTGTATCTGCAGACTGTTCTGCTACAAGACATTTTAAAATCCTAATTGTATGAATTCATATTATATGGATCTATACTTGAAATGACTGTTTTGTCATTCTCTTAATTTTTATGAAGAAAGAAAATTAAAATGAAAAACGTGGCAATGCATAGGACATGATGCTCACATCTAATTACAATTTAATCGACTTTTTTCACAGCAGACATTTTGGCAGCGTCTGAAATCACACTCTGTTTGCAATATAATACACTTCTGACTCGTTTGAGTGTCTTAGTGTGAAATGTAGTCCATCCCCCAATTCAGTGCCCTTTAAAAGATGCTAAAACTGCATTTTATAGAGGATAAAATTACAGTAGTGACACACTACACCTGTCAGTGATGACACAGTCATGGTTTTTCAGTTTGCTGCTCACTATAGTAGAGAAAAGTGGATTTGTGAATGAGGGAATACTTTTGCAACCATTGACTTGTTATAACTCTATCAAGTGTCCATCTACCTTTAAGCCAGGGTGACCTAGTGCTCACAACACCCATTAATTAAAGGTGCTATATGTAAGTATTTGTTATTACTACATAGCCAACATTAGCATTAATAGCCATTTACTTAACAGTCTAGAAGAAAGGTTGTGGGTTCAGCATCAAACTTGATTCTTTTACTGTCCAAGATGCCCGTGTTGGACTGACGGCAGACTGGACGCTCTCTAAAGTGAACTTTAAATTGGATTTTGAAATAAAGAATTAAAAAATGCATGTGCCTGCATTTTCTCTCGAGTTGTAAAGTTCGCTACACCTTCTGGCCTCTTCAGAGAAAAAAATCCAAAGAGAATATTGTATTTATAGAAGGTTGCAACTGTTTTCAAAGACACAGCGCCCATTTTCTCTTTGACATAAATACCGAGTGCTGCTTCAGGGCACACATCAGGTTTTGATGTCAGTTCTTTAGATTCAAAGAACAGTTGTTTCTTTCTAGACTCACCATTTTGCACTGAGATTCCACAATAAGAAAGACCTAAATCAGCTGTAAAAGAGGTAGAGACACCAGTTTCTCCCTTGACAATAGCCTTTAGACAATAATGCAATCCAGCTGCAAGACATCTTTTCTCATCAATAAAACTTGAGCTTCACTAATCCACTGCTTTTTCCTCCTGAACATAAAACATTTGAAAAAGAAATATTATCAAAAATATCATTAAAATTAAAAGCACAGGAAATCAGCAATATATGAGAATCACAGAGTAGATTTTCATCTTTTAATCAGCCCATTTGCGCTCCTATGTCATTTTGCTTGTTAAGCTCCTGTATTTCAGACCAGTTTCCATTTATATTTAATTAGTCTCTGCACAAGTGACTTGTTCTGTTGGGTAACTCAACACAAATTCTCTTTGACTGCACTGCATGCTTCCTCCGTGGTCCTTTACAACATCCAACTAAAGGAGCAAATGGGATCCCTGCTATCTACGTACTGTATATGTGTGTGGGAGAGAATAAGTCAGAGAGAGAATAGGAGGAAGATAATGAGAGACTGAGAGAGAATGAGAAGAAGCTAGACTGAAATAGAACAGTGTCTTGAGGTTGTTTGCAAAGCAAACGTAGCAGTCTGCTATTGGCTGCCCTTCTCTTTGTCGCATCCACCTCTGTGGGCCTCAGGAGAAAAGAACGCTGGCCTGAGAAAAACACTTTTCAATCTACCTTTGGCCTATAACAAACAGCTACCTGGTTGGAGGGTACACAAAAAAAATATATATTTTGTTGTACCTGTGACCCACAACAAACAACTCTCTGGCTGAAAGATACACACCAGCACCAGCAGAGATAGCGGCAAGGAAAAACGCACTGTGATATTTGCATCCATCTCTCCTGACGCTAAAAACAGTCTTGCATATCATTTTTCATGCAATTTTCTATGCAAATGTAAAATAAAAATCCAAAACAAAACTAGTCATCAGAGTCGACGCACATGCAAATCCACGCTCACACATGCATGAGCACACATGCAGAAAAACCCAAATACAAATCTCTTATAATCTGCTTAGTGAGCAAAAACTCTGGAGAGCTTGCTGTAATTATGGAGCATTTTCTAATAACTTAAGTGTGAGGTGGATATACTCTGTATCCCAAAGGAAAACAATTTGATTAGATTTACATCTACCATGCATTATTACTGAGCTGGGGAGAGTCTGTGGAAAAGGGGAGATTCCTGTACAAGAGAGTTCAGCTTATCATCAAAATCATCTCAGCTGTGGGGATTTTCTTTTCTTTTTTACAGTAGGATTCTCTCTGCTCAGTGGCTGCATGGCAAGCTAGAGTGACTAGGCGTCCTTCAGCTGGATGATTCTCATCCAAGCGTTCTCCTTGCTGAGGTCTCCTTGAGCAAGACCTTTAATCCTGCCAGCTCCACGGTCAGTGCTCTGACCCTGCACTGTAATCCCGATGGTAAGGTGAGGGGTAGATGTCACTGTGTGAACTTGTGAACTGTGTGGACTAAAACTTTAAATTGTTATTTTTACGTTTAGATAAAATACCTGCCTGCTGTGCATCATACCGAGAGTATTTCCAAGGTTATTTACAGCACCATTATATTAATCTGCAGGATACTTCTAGGGACAAAAAGAATATCTTATTATATGCGTCTCCTGAGCTGAAGCAACTTCATACGGTGAATCTTTTTCCTTCCCAAGACTGAAACAGTAAGCGTCACTGCAAATTAGTTCAGCAACTTCCCCAGACGCATGACAGATAATCGAGATCTGCAGCTGGGTGAGCTATTACCCATAACTAAACAGACTTTCCACTTCAGGTCTATGTTTGTGTGTGTGTCTGTGTGTGGGATAACGTTGTCTTCTACTCTGTTATCTCCTACAGCGAGCAGAAGAAAGTGATGGAGGGCCTCCAGTAATTAGAATGGAGAGCCTCTCCCTTCACTATACAAATAATGATAGCCTTTCACCTGCTGCAGAAAATCACCCTGATCTATTCTCGCATTCAAACACGCGCATACACACTCCTCACCTGCTCCAGTTTCCAGTGGAACTCGGCAGGTCTGAAAGTGTCGACCTGAGTGAAATCTCTTCTGAGCAGGAACACCAGGCGGCAGTTGTGGACGTACAGAGAGTAATGGTGGCGGTTCATCTCTGAAGGAGGAACAGCGCAGGCATGCATGGTCACACAAACACACTCACACAATTAAACACAATTAAACATAATTCTACATGATACAGCGTATTAATCAACAAGATTATTCCCTCTAACTTGAAGGACAATAAAGTGATGCACCTGCTCCTCGAGATTTCTTTTGAGTTTTTTCAGGGAGCAGTGAAAAACTGTCATATGGTAGAGCTGCGGGAAACACTGAACTCCTTCCAGCTACTGGAAATTGTTTCTCCGTATGAAAAGACAGCAGTCATCATGACAGAAAGGGTCCAGTGAGTGTGTTTTTTTCTGGATGATCGACTGGTGTCTGTATAAGATGGCTATGAAGGGCGAGTCCCACTTGCTCTGCTTTTATAATACACTTCAGTAATCTTGAGGTGGGATGATGTGTGGGGTGTGCAACAGATCCTCTTCTAAATACCAAGTGACTCCACAGCGAAGAGCTGCTGGCGGCCTTTTAAAGACAATCTTTGTGTTGTTTTCTTGCGTATCGGTAGACTCAGTTTGGGTGTTGAGATGTTTGTCAGTCAAGTACAAAAACATGACAAAGCCATGTTTTGAAAACTTAACATTATTTGATTTATTATCACAGAAACAATTCAAAATGAGAAGACAGGTAATCCCATGACTATTATACTATCAATAATATCATTTCTTGCCTGTCCATGTAACTGTATTGTGTTATAATCTCATATCGGAACATCAGGGTTCACAATTCGCATATCTAAATGCATGATAATATGTTAAACTTCACCAAATTCAATCACAAAAAGAGCCCTTCAGTACATACTATAAACTATTTCATGGGTCAAACACTATAACAATTGTTTGACTGAGTGGGATGTAAGTATATGTTCTGAAAAGTTTGATAATCACTCTGACATGTTGCTATAGACAGAGATGATGCTGTGAATTATCATGATAGTTTTGAAGTTTTGACCATATCGCCCGCCCCTAATGTCACCTTATTCAGAGCAATGATGAGACCCGATACGTGCTGAGTCTTCAGACACCATTTATATTCTTTAGCCAAAACATTACAAATGCAAAAAAAAAAAAAGGGCTTATAAGACTCTGGTGGTCTAACATGAACTACTCTGCAGTTTTGCATCACAAGATCAGAGTACACATTTCCTAAGCTAATAAGCCATCTGTGAGACCATTGTGAGAGTGTGCAATTTGCAGATGGCTCGCTTAATTACACAGTTCAGGCAGCTCAGTTCAGACATGCAGTGGGAAAAAAACTTTCAAAGAGCATTTGCTATTGTGGGCTTCAGTCTCAGTCTTAGTAATCTTTTAATTTTGAAAGGAGGTTTTTGATCATGCAGTGTTTATGGCATGTCCTCCTTGTAATGTTGGGGACACCAGAAAGTATAAAATGTTTATGTTTCAATAAAAGGGCCTTACATCTTAAGTGATCAGATGTGAAATAATTTCCTCACCGGTCTTGTCAGAGTTACAAAGTAAGGTTTCCTTCTCAGCTCTGAGTCCTGGACTGGGCCCGTGTTTCATCCAGGTTGCCACGGTGAACTGGTCTGTCAGGTTTTGGGGCACCACGTGATCTGGAACATTGGCAGCCTGACGCCCGTCGAATCTGTAGATGAGGTCGCTGTCTCGCCCGCTGTCAGTCAGCAGAGACGCCGTCCAGTTTGTGGAAGGGCTGGGGGCAGGAAGGAGGTCGGTGCTGCCCGATGCCGCACCTGGATGTGCCAATCAGAACATCGCACACTGTCAAGAAAACCTGGAGAGAAGCTGCTTTGCCACGATCACTTTCTGCTTTCTGTGTCATCTTTCTGGATGTCCTCACATGTCAGCATGCCTGCCAGTTTAATTAAACATAGCTCTATGAATCAGGATATGTGTTTTGTTAATATATTTATTGTAATATGGTCGTGAATCATTTGTAACAAATGTCATATAGCCATGGTTCTTATGTGAATCTGCTCGTGCAAAACTTGTTGGGCTTATATTTCTACTACCATCATGCACTCTGTACACATGCAGTATTCGAAATTCAAAATACCATGTGTGGTCCCTAAAGATGCAGTGAAGTGCCCTGCCCCACTTACATCACAAGAATGCTCTAATTTTAAACATGTTTTGAAAGGAAATGACTCATTTACAAGACACAGTATAATTAAGACGGTACTCTTGTCAGTCAGATCAAGCACATATGTAAATCCTCCATCTTTGTTTGCTGTTTCCCTCATAGTCCTTTTCAGGCTTTTATTTTTTTTTTAAATTGTAGATTCTAAAGAGGAATATTTTCTTTATTGGCAATAATTAGTAATGGTATTGAATTTGTGTTTTACGTGTACTGTATGTATTACAGGGCAAAGCCATATTCCAGGGTATAAATGGGAGGTAATAATGAACACATGTCACAGTTTGACATGATGTTTGGAATTTAATTCAATATAAAAAAATGAAATTCAAAATAGTCTTCAGGATTAAAATGGCACACTGGAAATTGGCATATTAATATACTGCAGAGGTTAAGACGTCAAGAGGTAATTTCTTCTTCGAATTACATTCTTCATCGTCTCTCATTATTATTTCTACTCTTTGCTCCCTCAGACCCCTCTACTCTTTAATAACACCTCACTATTTCAACAAGGCTTTTCATTTTGTCACTTTCTTCTCTCACCTCCTCACTTCTGCTAATTTCTTTTTTTCTCTCTCTCTGATTTTACTTCTCTCTTCTCACCACAGAGTTTTTGCAGAGACTTTTCAGAGTACGTTTCACGGTCGCAGCCCTTCCCGATGTGGTTGGTCTGCAGCTCCACCATCGCCCTCACGCCAGACAGGGGACCGCCACAGGTCTCCAAGTGCATCTTGGGGAACAGCTGCTTGCTCCCAGTCCCTGGCTCATAGTCCACACGCTTGTTCCAACCTTTATGAACACAGTAAATAGCTTCTTAATTCTACTGAGCATCTAATATCTGCAGGCAATTACTTTCACCAATTTCCTTTAGTACATACACACTGAGATATCCAGCCATCAGTGACGTGTTGTTTGTGGTTTGACTGTGGTGTAAACAAAAGAAGAACATTTTTAACCCATTGAGAGATCGTTCGGCTCTAACTGACTCTCTTATTTGTGTTTCTAAATTCCTTCGGTCTTTCCCAATCTTGACATTATTTACATTCTCTTGTTGCATATCTCGCTGTCTTTTAGTCTACTTTTAAAAGCATTATTAGAGCAGTCCACAGAAATAAAAGGAATAAAAAACTTTGTTCTGCTGTAAGTGGGTTTAAAATAAGGTCTTGAAACGATGACAGGCAACCACACTGGTTGGCAACTTGGGAGCTTGGAATTTTCTCAGTAAAATCCTTCCCTGTGTCAAGTCAAAAGGACCCAGTAACATGACAGGCGTGGTAAAGAGGGGTGCTCCCCTCCTTGTAACTGTCAGTCCTGTTGCATGGTGTTATATTTTCATTATCCAAGTGTTATATTTATCCCCAGTGTGTATGAAAATCCCTGAATCTGGAGGTGAAAGGGATTCATAAGCATGATTGTTTGAGGGAAAGTTTGAGTGCATGTGCCTATGCATATGTGTGTGTGTGTGTGTGTGTGTGTGTGTGTGTGTGTGTGTGTGTGTGTGTGTGTGTGTGTGTGTGTGTGTGTGTGTGTGTGTGTGTGTGTGCGTGTGGACACCTGGCAGCTCTTGCCAAGCCTACAGAATAGGATATCAAGTCTCCAGAGACAAACATTCACAAAAAGAGAAATGGACTGTGATTCGGTGGGCGAGGAAGGGTGAGATGGAGCGAGACATATTTAGCCTCCATTTATGCCGGGGAGCCTTCTTCAAAAAAAGCAGCAGCAGGAGAACTGCTGACCTTTACACACAGATGATAAATATGATTATGTGAACAAAAGACTTGATGTTTGTGTGCACCAGTGCATTATGTTTTATTCATGGCTTTACACCACTCTCAGTTAATGGTTTTACAAGAGGGTTTTGCAGTATGGCCCCCTTTTATTAGCCAAATCGTAAAGAATCATGCAACATTGATAAGGATGATAACAGGGTAATGATAGCAAGTGGTTCAAATGTGGAGAGTTGAAAATGCCCGTGATACCATCTGGAAAATAATTGTGTATCTTTCTTTAAAAGCACGAGCTTGAATCATCCAGATCCAGCTCTTATTTTGTTGTCAGTGGTTTTATGTTCCATAAATCAGTAGGTTTTTGGATTGAAAAAAATGGCACATGTCTGTTCCACGTTGAAACCAGTATGCCATTTCAGACCACTTTTCTCAACACTCCTTTACTATTTCTGTCTGCACATCCAACTCTCTGTGAAGTGCACTGACATTTCCTTCAATGAGTGTCCCAAAAGCCTAAACAACTGGCATTCATGTCATTTTCAATATTTTCTCTCTTTGCACTAATGGATCTCGTCTGTAAAAGGCTCGTTCACATGTGATTTTTTTTCCTACTAAATGATCTTCTCCCATCATAGCACAAAATTATACAATGCCATTATCTAGCCATGATATCATCAAACCATCATGTACATTTATACCATGGCTGTACAATCTGTGGACCATAAATGATGTTTTAATCATCAGTCTGAACTATTATTTCATCTGACAATGGATGCAAGAGATGAAGCAGCTTCGGTGAATATTATGGTAATTATGTAATAATGCACTTCTACTGTAAGTATTTAATATTTAGATATATAAAAATAATTGATGAGGAAGAGCTGAAAATCAATTATTTTAATGCATTTTAACTTCTATCCAATATACTTCTTTATGTCTTGTAGCAACACTTAAAACTGTGACACAGCTGCATTTGAAAACTTCTACATGTTGTATTTCTAATGACTAGCTGAGGTAATTCCCAGGTCAGCGTTCATCACATATACTAAGTCTATAGAGATTTTCTATATATGCTCCACATGGGAGGGGCCCATAGCTTAGAGCGCGGGTGTGATTTCCACAGGAGGATTGGGGAGACATGTCCCCTTCACTTTTTAAAATACAATTTTTTTCTGTCTCACTCTTATAGTTTCTGTTTGATTTACTTACTAAAATCTCTCTGAGCAAAGCTGATAAAAATGGTGATTTTCTCATCTAGTTATTTTCAGTTATCCCTTCTTTTGACAAAAAAATAATTGCTTAAATTTATATCATGTTTATACTCTCTGTCAGTACATCTCTAAAAAACATGTAGAATTGAAGATCTTTGAACATAAGGCAGCAAAGGACATTGGCTTTTGTAAAGAAGCATGAATAATATTATATCATGATATCATAAAGTAGGAGCTCCTTATTATGAAAAAGCAAGTGTTATTTTAATTGGCAATAGTATTGAAGTAGTAGTATTACCATAGCATTTCTAATTTGGAAAGCACAATAACCAGTTTCATAATAATTTGCTAGACTGATAGAAATATAAATCAGTAGCATTCATCTTTCTTTCTTTTATTTCTTTCTTTTGGAAGAATCTATGCCCTCGGCAGAGGGGTTAAGACGCTGAGCATAAACTGGCCAGGAACCTTTGTCGCATCTCTCTCCTCATTGTTTCCTGTCATCTCTCCACTGTCTGTAATAAAGGCTTCAAATGTCCAAAAACACTTAAGTCAATAATACACTGATTTTCAGTGTATGTAGAAAGTGGCAAAGAACCGTTTGGTTCATGAATAACCAAGAGTTTTATGTCGTCCATGGCTTGATTTTTCTTGGAGTTCTACAAGAATATGATGGGAATTAATGACACTGTTAACAGGATCTGGTCATGAGTTTAAAAACAGCACTACGGTGTGTTGTAGTTGACTGGGGCCATTCTTTTTAAGGCCGTTAGTATAAGCATCACCTCTCCCTCTCACTATAACTTTGTTCCCCTCCTCCCTCCCATGAGTTGCCTGTTCACTCTGCCTCTTTCTTTATCTCTTTCTCCCTCCTTCGCCCCTCTCCTGTCTTATCTTTCTCTGTCTTCCGCTTTCATTCCTGACTCCTGAGATGCTGTCAGCGCTGACAGGTGAAGCAGCGGGGGAGACGGGCTGGCTCGAATGCCCAGCTGCTGCCATGTTGAAGGAGGGAGGGAAAAAAAAAAACACCACATACACATTCCAGTCAACTTTCCCTCTGGAGGTTTTTGTCAGGTCTTCTGATTTCCTCGAGAGACATTCATTCTAAAATGAAACAGAACTCCCTCGAGGGAAAGGATATGCTCAAAGACTGCACTGAATTGCCCGCTTCAATTTTTGATGGTATTGCTTTACATTTGAATACATTTAAACATCTCAATGCACTTTATACCAATATAGAAATAAGCACATTTCTGTCAAGTATTGCAAGATAAATATAGGCATTTTGCAAATATTTCAGTGGCTATTTCTTTATCTCTGACCTTGCCATCCAGGTTTGCAAATAGGCTTGACATCAATATGCACAGCCACATCCTCCTTTGCTCTCTTCTGACCACAGTCAAAGGCCGTCACCATAATCTTGTAGCTCTGCTGCTTGTCATAGCTCAGTCGCTCTGTATTTCTGATGTTACCTAAAGGAAAGAAATCAAAGAGGAAATATGATTATGATTATCCACCGACATAGAAAAATAAACTGTTATGCTTATTTGTTCATAATAAAGTGAGAAACATTTGCTGCTGAGCAATAATTGAAAGTGACGTTGCATTAAAGAAACTGCTCCTTGAAAACAAAAGCTTTTGTACTCACTGAAGTCTTTTACTGAAAACTCAAGGTCCAGTAACCTTGTGTAGCATTTTAATATCAAAGCCTCACTGTAAACAGTTGATGTAAAATTGTAATGATAGATTATCTTTGCCTACCACCAGGGTAACAGCGTAAGAACAGTGTGAGATGGACAGGATGCTACAGGCCTGAGGATTTGCCTCGAGTAGAGCCACTAGATCATTTCATATACTGAGGTTACTATTGTTCAATAGTGCAACCCTCTGCCAGCTAACAAATGTTTAACGGTGCTGAATACTGCAGTTATTTACTGTAAAATAAAGTATTACCTTTCACACTGATAATTTGCCTGTTTGAATATTGTCAAATTCTGCTGCTGAAGTCAAGAGGAAAAACTACAAAATTTCATAAATGCATAAATAATTTGGTTGAAGGAAACAATGCTTGATGGTATGTGGGACTAAACACTGTGAGAAACTTTATTCTCTACCTTGTAGAGCTTTAGAAAACTGGTTGTACACCAATTACTTCAATCCCCACTGACATCTAAAAGGAATGGTGACTCCATTTTTCCACTGAGATGATTAGTTAGTTGAAGGGCTGCTTGCAGATTTCATTTTAATGTGTGAACTTGCTGGAGCAGCATAGGATACCATGGGCATGTGGGTTTGTTTTGTGAGACTGGAAAGCACGACTTGAACAGTGGGAACGGTTGAGTTTCTCTTTGTAATATAAAAGTCTTGACCTTACAATAATGCCTTAAGACAATATATGTAATGATTTGGTGCTATGTGAATAAAATTGAATTGAATTAAACCCAAAGTTTCGCTAAGTAATAGACTAATCTTATGAGACTGGCCTCAGGTGGAGTGAGGTCTACTCAACTGTAGCCACAAAACTTATGACTGGATATTTATCAAAAGCAGACAACACACACACAAATACACAAATGTGTACACAGAGAGAGAGAGAGAGAGAGAGAGAGAGAGAGAGAGAGAGAGAGGCCAAGAGATTTAAGTAAATGTATGTCAGTGTATGTGTGTGGTAGCCAACAAGCACAAAAAATATTAAGGCCTCATGACTCACAGGTGATTACGCCCTGGAAATGCTGGTGCAACAATCCTAAAGTATGCTTTATCGACTGAGCTAAATGTTAACAAAGCAGCAGTGAGGTTCATTCAGTCTATATCGCTGTGTCACAAAATGGCAACTACAGAGTGAGTTGCTGGTTGCAACTGATGCTGTTTGTCTCGGAGTCTGTCAAAGCAAAAAAGTAAAACAGGACTCAAAGCTTTTCTAGTTAATGAACATTATTTATCTGTGAGACTTCCATACAGATGTTCTTTAAGATAAACTAAAGGCTACAAAACAAAGTCATATTCTTATTTTGTCAAAGATTTATTGAGACAGTCACTGCCATCGCAGTCGGCCCCCGGAACTACAAAGGCAACTGAAGCTATTTTTGTTGTTTGCATCTGTAGTCTTGATTGTATGAAAAACTGTCACTCTGATTGCTGTCAGAGAGAAGAGGAGAGGAGAAGTGACCAGAGAAAAAGAGAAGAAAAGAGAGAAAAAGTCCAGAGGAGAGGAGGTGCAGTGAGCACTGAGGAAATCAGTTCAGAGCACAGCAGTACGGAACAAAAAGAGCTGAGCTTGAAATGTCAGAGGGAGAAAGGCAAGGAGGTCAGAGTCAGACAGTTCCTACAAAAATCTCCTACAGTGACTATTTGATCCGCAGCTGGTGAGAACAACTGCAACAGTAAAAGTACTTGATATCAACCATTTCCCGTTTTCAACATTTGCCATTTTGATTTGACAGGACATTTTCATTTCTTGTTTCATTAGCAGGCGACCTTTAACATCATCTTCACAAGGGATCTAAGGAGCCCATCTGGATTTAGGATTTTCTTATTCTGTCCATAGTACACATGATGTTCAGTTTACTTGTCACAGTGGGTACGTTGGGGGTGGGTGATATGGGCAAAAGATCATATGACAATCTATCAAGAATCATGATCCACAATCTGAATCACGAGTCTCCCCACAGATTTAGTTGAACTCGTGATCACATGACTAGTTGTACATGTGGTTGCCTGGACACAAAGCCTGTCACTTGTTTCCGCTCTGATTTTACTCTGAAAGCCCTGACTAGAAGTTGTGATTTGTATCTTTCTGCTACTTTGACACTTCTTTCGGATGTTTGTCGGCTCACCGCTGCTCTTCACCTACAATGCTTTCCTCTTTTTAAGAACTGTGTCACAACCATTTACAGTTTTTTGCTTAGTTCATAGGGAGTATTCATTTTGACAGCTCTGTTATTTAGCCCCGGCTCGTCCCGCCTCGCGTTTCCCTGCCTGCAGGCAAGTCTCTCGTCCCGCAGACAGACTGAAACTCCACTTGGACCTGCATCTTGGACTGCATCTGGTGACGGTAATCAAGTGGAGAACTGGTGCATGTGGCACTACGCCAAGCTTGCCGAGGCTGCAGAGTAGAACAAGGACTCCTGTTGCCAGCTGCAGTTAGCGGGCTTGCTGTTTATCAGCTAACAATGGGCTGGTTAGCAGCAACTGAACTTTTAATATGAAATATCGAAATATAGCACCTTTTATGTCTATGATTAAAGATCATTAGATTGCCCACCCCTATGATTACTACTCAGTCTGTGAACACAGCTACACAATGTCCTCTGAGGGACTGGAAGGAACTTTTCAGAGTTTGAGAAAATAGCCCGCAGTGATGTCATCAGGGTCATATAGGCTTGGCCTCAAGACTTATAGACAGTCAAAACTAGAGATGTGGCATTCAAAAAAAAAAAAAGTGGACATGTAGGCGGCAGGGAGGTTTGATAATAGATGTTATTCAGTTGCATTTTGGGAAATGTAAGATCCAGTGTTCAGGGAGCTCGACACACACTAGAGACGGAAAGTCAGGATATCTTGGCCGCTGCTGCATTGATTTTGATTTTTCTCTCTCTCTTGTGAATTTGTAAAACATTAGGGAGTTGCATTGCTGAATTGCTGGAGAAGTCCTTTAAGCTTTGCATTCAGGCAGAACACAGAGGTCATACGTCAGCTGAATGACACAGCCCGTTCAATCCAACAGCAACTTTACTAAAAGCAAGGAGGGGGGCCAGCTGAATGACAAGTGAAAACATTGATCTCTTCTAAAGAGGGATAAGAGGTTCCTCATGGTGACACAGCTCACTCGTGGTTACAGGATGAGAATATCCTATAATCAGTACTGGGAATACAAACCGCATTTCTTCACATCACAAAAGGGTAACACAGAAATATATTTACAAGTTAGCAGTCAATGAAGTCTATCTGGGTCAACAGTAGTCCCTATAGCCTTAACAAGGTATTTATTAAATTACGTTCCGAAAATATGAGCAGCTCGTGGGAGCCACTGTTCACATCAGCAGAATAAATCTCTCACTTGGCATCCTGAAATGCAGGAGCATCTACACGGGCAGAATAACTGTACAGTAGCAATACAATTAACTCTGCTTGCAGAAGAGCACGTGCGTAGTTGATCTAAAACTCATTTAAAATGATCTTCAAAGTGAGGGTTTCAACAAGTTAATTACTACAGAATATGTTATCAAATCATAGCAAAAGAGATCCAATCAGACTCAATTTGACTGTAGCAACTGCACAAACAAGATCTGAACTCTAAACCCTTACTGATTCAGGGCCAGTTTATTATCATCACTCAACAAAGAAAGTGCTGAATCCATTTAGTCTTAATTTACTGTCTCTTTTAAAAATTTTACTCCATGTCTGACAGCAGAGATACACACTGCAGCAAAGCTCGTTTACTTCTCTATTTTATTTTGCACTTCCCTCACAAAAGGACCATTGCTCTATAAAGTAGGTCTAACCACTGTGTTGTGTCTTGCAGTTTCTCCCAGACAATATCATTGTGCCTGGGAGAAGTTCAAATCAAATGGGCCAGACCTCTGTAAAAATACAGTGAGAATAAGACCAGGAGGCCAAACTCAAAAAGCAATGAGACCAAATAATAAATAAGACCCTGAGAGAGACAAAGAAAGCAGTGTGTGCCTCTGTCTGATCTATTGGTAGAGTTCAACATACACAAAGCCCTCCAGTCTCCGTTCAGTTTGGATTACGCTGCACTCAGATCAGCACAGTGTAGCTGTGGAAGCTCAGGGAGAAGTCGGCACAAAGCCCAAAGCTGAAATTTTATATAGACAGATATGCTCAGAATAGCTCTCAATCAGAAATGAAATACAATCCACCCGTCAAACTAGGACTGGTGTAAAGCCACAAATGAACGCAAGAAAACCGAAAAAAGAAATAATAAAAGAAGAGGCTGCCACAGCAGAAGGTGGATCTTTGTCAAATAACTTTTGAGCTATGCACTGATAAAAAGCTAGGCCTGCTTGACAGATCACAACAATATAGCAATATAAAGAGGGATCAGCCATAGTTGTCTGCTTTCTACTTCCTCTTCATACTGCAATCCTTTAACCGCATTCACATTATTCCATAAGTAGATGATTAGTGCAGTTGTTACCGACAGAATTCTCCAGAATCCAGAGTTTTTCAAATACAAGACTTACTGTGATAAAACCAGCCTCCATAACATGTTTTTACACACTGGTTTCTAGTTAACTGTCTGCTCCACGAGTCATCTCCAGATTCAGAGTCATCTGAGCGTTGGCTCTCTCATGTCTATCTTTAGTACAGACTCGACCGTGTTCACATGAGGCTCAGCTGGCTGCGATCATAGAAAGAATATATACAAATTCAGCTGAGGAATGGCTTTTTCCTTTCATCACGATATCAACAATGCTGATTGTGTTCAAGTGAGGCAAGGACAGGACCACTGTAAGTCTATTCCAAATTACATGTCTCAAGTAAGGTCCAAATGTGTATGTGTGTACACGTGATTCTCCATAAAACAGCTTTTTTTTTCAATTTTATTTTGTCTCAATTAAGAAAACATCAGCACCAAGTCCATTTAACAGCTGTTGATGTTCAAACTGAGATTTTTTTTTTTTTCCCTCCATGTTGGCTTGGAAGCAGAGGTTGAAAGTTCATTCTTCACTGTGGTAACCAGTATTTGAAAATCTCATCACAAGCTCCGTTTAGTAGCTGCTCTGGATTTGTTTTGTTTTATTTTCAGGCAATCTTGTAAAAGCAACGGGGGTTAACAATGTAGTACTTTCGCAACTGTCAAACAAATACGCTTATTAAAAGTTAGTAAAATTGAACCAATTATGTTGCAATCCAATTAAATTAGATTTTAATATTTCATATTTTTGCCAAAGAAAAATGACATCTTTATTTGATAAAGGTATAAGGTTGTGTTTAATTATTTGGGTTAAAAAGAAAGTGTGTTATTTTGGTATAAATTGAGGTAAATTTGTGATTTTATGGTATAGTCAATGGCTCATAACCTGCAGTTGTGTATAGGTGTTACATGAATGATGGCCCTTCAGTGTAATTAAATTAGATGAAAATCCAGACACTTCTATCTCTCGCACTGCTATCCTAGTTTCCCCATCTCTCTCAGACCCATACATCACTCCTAATCACATCACCATCAGCAATTATAACTACGGCCCAGTCCCCCGCTCTGCCAAGCCAGACACAAACACACACACACACACACACACACACACACACACACACACACACACACACACTTACCATTGCGGTCTATGGCAAATGGCGTCCCTGCAGTGACAATTTCATAGTTGCAGATCTGGCTGTATTGTGGTGAACAGTCCTGGTCCCATGCTTCCACCTGTAATAATGTAATGTGACATCCCGTTCACTCCCAGGCCATCAACAACAGCTGCAACACTAAAACAACTACAGACAATTACAATACCCCACATTTTTTACCTGAATGATTTCTGTGGCTCTTTTAGACAATGTTAACTTGTACATGGAATCACATTTTTTATTTGTTTTAACTCTTAAACTCTTCTTTTCTTTAACAAAATACTAACAAAGAGGACAATATTAGGTATGATAATAATGATAATAAATATAAAACAAAACTAAATATGCATTCACTGGAAATTCTAATATCTATATACCTGCAGAATGCTGTCGTAGATCTTGCCCTCTATTACTGACGCCTTGTACAGTGGCTCCCGAAACACAGGCGAGAACTCATTAACGTCATCTACCTGGATGTGAACCACCGCCCTGAGTGAAGGAGGGAATGGAAGACAGAAGAAGGAGGGAGGGAGCACGGTGGGGAAAAGGACAGAGGGATGCAAAGAAATTGAAGTGGAGATGATTGATGGAGAAAAGGTAACATAAGGACACAGGGAAAGAATAGATGGATGGAGGAAGGGAGAGAGGAGAGACGGAAAAAAACCCGCAAGTCATTAGAGATGATTAAAATTAATTAAGACCTATTTCACTGTTTATTTTAAGAACACCAGTTAGTTGAAGGCGAAGGAAAATTAAAAGAAAACAGTTCCTTACTGTGCTTAGATGGAAAATAGATTTATTCCTGGAGAAAGCAGCTGAAAAGAGCTGATTAAAAAGGTACCACACATGAGGTCGTGTTTGTTAGTATTTCTTTGTGAAATGGGTTTCCGTTATTATCTACAACTTAAATTTAACAGGCCTGTCTACTGACACAGACTCGTCTTGAAAAGCTAGATTATTTTTCAAGGTTCAAATTTTTTCCCTTCCCTCCTAGTCTGATGTCTCATCCGCTGGGAGAAACTGCTGAAGATATTAACTTGGCACTCCAATAACATTTGTGCACTAAAGTATATAAATGAAGCAATAATTCAGATGTATCATGAAGTTTTCTTCACTGGTGACCTTCTCTGACAACAACTCGCGGTGCATCTGAGGAAGCACATCTGGCTAATTAATGACATTAGCTTAATGAGGCCTATTTAGAATGTCATGCAGTGATAATGTCACACACACACACACATACACACGCACGCACACACGCGCATGCGCACACGCACACACATAACACTGTGTGGCATTCATCTTCCACTAGAGAAAATTTATCACAGATCCCTGAGCTGATAAATTTCCCTCTCTTTCTCTGTTTAGTACCGAGCCTGCAGCAGCCTATTTCAGCAGCTCCTCGTCTCTGACTGAAGGACCAGAGGGTTTGATTTGCTGCTGTCCGTGCTGGTCTGCCTGTCTGTCAATCTCATTCACATAGCACTGCCACGCACACGTATACGGACACACATTATACTGATGGGCCATTAGGGGGACATATCCTGAGAGCAGAACTGCAAGTCTCAGCTGTCACTTCTTCAGAGCTGAGGCATAAAAGAAAATGAAAAAAGAAAAGAGATAAAATAGAAACAGCAAAGACAAGATCTAATTATAATAAAGTTATTTTTCCACCTAACGTTGAGCGATGAGCAAGTTATGAAGGAACCACGTGGAGCATGTTGGTATTTTTTACTTTTAGATTAATTTAAAGTTAGGGAAAAGATGAATGATGTAAAGGTAAATATTCAAACGAATACAACTAAAGCTACATTTAGTTGTAGTGTGTCTGTACTTTAGTCTCTAACTGCTAATTGAGGTTGTATTTCAAAATGATGTTACACAAATACCCCATACTGTATTGGTGAGGCTCAACTTAACTTCCTCTCTAGGCTTTTTCTCTTTGAGAACTTAATGTAACTCATTTGTGCAGCCACCTTTGTAACTTTGATTTAAATTCTTTGAAGTTAATATTTGTTTCGTATGTAATGTTTCTGATATTTTGTCCGCCCGCTGTGTATCTGAGTTGCAATGGCAGCTGCAGAAGTGAGTCATGCTTAAATAAATAATAATTAGCAGTATGTGACAGTTTTAATAAAAGGTCTGACAATCAGAGAAGGGAAATTTTCCTTTTCAGAAGCATTAAAACACTTTCAGACACAAACAGGCCAGATAGTCACCGCCTGCGTGTTGGAGAAGTCACTAAATGCCTAAAGCTTTTGAGAACAAATGTCAACAAACAGACACTGACCGAAAGGAAGGGATTATTTGCTTAACAAGAACCTACAGCTGTCACGGTCACGCCCATGACTCCAGTTTATTCCTTGTGCTCCCTGATTGCTGATCAGCCTGTACACTAGCAAGACATTTGCTCATCAGCTCAGCAGGACGTCTGGGGGTCCGGGGTCTTCATCCACCCTTCACCACATCGTTGCTTCAGCCACTTTGATATCACACGTCCGGGCCACTGTGTATTCTAAGCTTTATCTCTCGTGTAATCTCAGACTTAATCCTTTTCTCCTTGTGCTTCAGGATCACTGCATGCCCGCCTGCTTACCTGCTCATCTCTCTGCCTGCCCTCCACGCTCACAATATTGCCCACAATCCAACCCAGCTCTGCTTCACCGGACCTCAGCTTCCCTCAACCCTCCGCCTCCACTGCCTGCTCCCCCTCAGTTCATCTCCCTGACTGCTGGTCAGTCATCCAGCCCCACTCACTGCCCTGCCTTACCCCCCCACCCCCCCAGCCCCCCCCCACCCCCGCCCTGTCAGACACCAGCAATAAACCGTCTTATTTTACTCAAACTCTGAGTCAGCGTCTGATGTTTGGTTTCGCCCGTTGATCATAATAATAACCTCCATAATATTAGATTTAAGTAAGATTTATTGAACAATATAAGCTCACAAAAAAAGGTTTAGTGAATTGAAGTGAAGCTATTGTGCTATTTTGTACAGCTCTGTTTTTCATTTTTTAAATGTGAATAGGTAGAAGTTGTTGGGTTTTTTTTGTTTGTTTGTTTTTTTCCCTGTCAGTGTAAATTCTACCAGTATTTTGCTGATCTCTGTGAGTTATGACTGTTGGTCAGTCAAAAACAATATGAAGCCATCACCTTGGGCTTCAGGAAAGTGTGATTTTAGTTTCTGATTTATAGATCAACATTGATTAAACAAGAAACTCATCGAACAACAAAATAATGCCACTTTATTTGTCAGTGAAAATATTTGTTAGTTGTAGCTTTAGCAGAAACCAAACGTCCCTGTTTAGGTGGTAAAAAAACTAGTTTAAGTCTACCGTCTTTATCTTCACACTGGATTTAAATTAAATATATAAACACACATTGCTTGACTCACTTGTGGGATTTCTTCCAGTCAGCACCGCTGGGTCCGGCCCCACAGTCGTAGGCCTGGATTATAAAGGTGTACTCTTTCTGGATCTCACAATCCACAGAGCTACTGGCCCTCAGGACTCCCTCTCCCGATGTGCGATTCAGCACCACCGCCTCGAATGGAACATCCTGACCATAGATCTTGAAGGCACAAATCTCCCCTAAAAAGGCAAGTAAAGAAAGGTATAATTGATTTGGTTACTTTTGCAGTCACACCGGTCGGTGCTTGGGCCCTAAATAATAATAATAATAATAATAATAATAATAATAATAATAATAATAATAATAATAATAATAATAATAATAATAATTCAAACTAAGCAAGACAAACAAAAACTGTGTGAAGATATTCAGAGAGAAGGGGAGAGACAAACATCAAGTGAAAATTGTAATTGAATCTTTTACCCCAGAGAAAAGAGAAATGAGCCACATGAGTTCTAAAGAAGAAAAGGCACAACTCCGGAAAACATCAGAAACATAATGGGCTTCAACACGTCTTTTCTCCAGCAGAGAGTGTGGTCTCTGGGTGCTTAATATGGAGACAGTCACACAACACAATGAGAGATAAAGTCTGAGCCTGCACTTAATTTCAGGCAGACACAGTGTGAACAAACAAACACTGAAAAAACTAGATTTTTTCATTCACTCATTTCTATGCCTCCAAGTTGGCGACAGCCACGGTCGGAGGCATTATGTTTTGTGTCCAGTCGTCCCATTCTCATGATCCTAATAACTCAGGAACGCCTTGAGGGAGTTTCTATGGAGGGAATATCCACTTCGACTCAAGGATGAACTGATTAGAATTTGGTGGTAAAAGGTCACAGGTCAAGGACACTGTGACCTCACAAAACACACTTTTCGCCATAACTAAAGAATTCATAAGATAATTATGACACAATTTAACACAAATCTCTAATAGGATAAAATGATGAAGTGATTACATTTTATATCCAAAGGGTCAAAGGTCAACTTCACTTTGACAACATGATGTTGTGCAAAAACACTTTGTTAGCCATTAATGCTGTGACTCAGGAACAGAAGGGCAGGTTATGACCACACTTCTTATTTGGTCAGACACTGAATTGGTCACACTAATCTTTGGTGTGTGTGGTGATTGAATGGATCTTCTGTGCTGCCCGGTTGCAGCAGCAGCACTGTGGGTAAGGAAGTAACAACTAACAATACGCACTGCTGACATTTACTTTACAGCACGGTTATCACTTCAAATTTTAGTCTCAGTCTCATTTCTGGACACAGTGAACTTTGTCAGCATGAGTTGCTCACAGAAACACAGAAACGGCTCCTGGGGTGTAGTTTAGAGAAAGATAATTTCTGATACGTGTCAAACTGTGCCAGCTGAACAACAACAACAAAAAAAAACAGAACAGAAGAGAAATTTGTCATGTCCACAGAGTGTTTCACCATACACACCGAGTGTTTTGTGTTTGCCTAACGTGTGCGTGTGTGTCTGTGTGTAGATCTGGTTGTGAGTCTGGAAAACATCTGCGGAGTTCATTCTCTGCTCAAGTGTTCATTTCAGGGATTTGGTAAATCTCCTTGCAGAGGGAACAAAAAGCTGCAGCACTCTGACCCTGTGCTGGCTTATATCTCTCAGAACATAGTGGGACACAGCGGAAACAAAAAGCTACCGTGCCATGGGAATTCTGCTTGTGTGCTCAAACCCCACTAACAAATACAAAGACAAAGTTCCCTCTCGTCACTTGCTTCTCTTCACTTCTGTGCCTCTCGTCTTCGTGTCCCACTGTCATGCGCACAGTCTTTCCACTTACTCTCTCACTCTGACTTCCTTTTGAACTGATTCAACTTTTCAAATCCCCTCCTTGGTGAAATAATGATGCTGCCAAACACAGTGGGCTTCAAGGTTCGATCCTCAACCAATTTTCAAGATGCCGCACACTCGCATTTGTCCCTTGAAGGTGTTATCGAAATAAAAAGGTCCCCACTACGACAGTGGGACGCGATGTGTGCATACAGAAAACGAATAATAAACACAATGGGTGGTATGGAAGAAGGGCGATAAACACATGCTTGATCCTGCCTGCACATTCACACATTTAAACACACAAGCTGAGCAAATATGGTCTTAGATGGGACCAAAGAGAAGGGAAACTGGTTTGAAAATACCAATGATTATAATATACTGCTGCAGCCCTTTATGCATAAACCTTGACTTAGTGGTGGAGAGCAGGAAAAGGTAGTTCCACTTAACAGTTTGGGGTTGGATGTAAATCCATTTTCCGCTCCATCTGTTGTGGCAAAAGCATTTTTCTGGATTACATTTTACAGGGGAGCGTAACAGAGTCATGGAGGGGAGGAAAGCTAGAGAGAGCAATAGAAGAGGAGGCAGAGAGAGATGAGGAGGAATGTGATGTGCCAATGTATATGTAAATGGTAATGACAGAGATTTCAGATTCCTACTGTGTCAGCGAATGTGTTTTTCTCACCAGCCCCAACAGAGGGAACACTATAATTTAACCCTGTTGCGGTGTACGGATGGAATGAAGTCTAATCTTTTGGCCTATGTGTCATGAGGGAAAGGGGTCGCTTTTCAAAGTAAATATCAAATCGCATAGATTTTTGCCTCGGGGAGTTGGCCTGTTGCCAGCGCAGATTGCAAGTAAAGTGGAAGAGTCAGCGAAAAATGGCTCAATAATAACAATCATCTAAAATAGATGGTACTCCACGGAAAGCTCGAGCAGCATAAAGTGCATCGACAGAAAATGTCAAACTGTCAGGGAACATGTATTTCACAGGATGTTTAATTGCCAATATAAAAGGAAAAGTACAAGATGGATACAATTAACGAGAAAATGATGCTCCATGAGCTAGCACGTTATCACAAGGAGCTGAAACAAATTAATGTATTCCTACCGTAAGTAACAGGAGTTGACAGAGCATTTCATTTCTTATGAGTTTTTTCTTTCCTCTACTTGTTGGGTTTAACAAATGCTTACACTTTATTTTTAATATCTGTGGCTGTTTTTAAAGGGTAGAAAAAGTGCTACGTCAGATACGGTGTTTAAAATAATGATTTAATCTCATAACTAAGACAAACTGGCTGAATCAGCTTAACATATTTTCCCGAACCCCATTCACATACATATTTTCTATATGGCTCTGACTTTAATATATATCACTTTGTGTTTGTGATTAGTCTTGTCTCGTCTTTTAGTGTTTCAAGTTTGTAATTTCAGCGTGTACACTTATTTCTATTGATGTAAGTTTAAAAAAAGAATTGTCAGCAGGTAATCCGAGCCACATAAACTTTTCCAATTTTGCTCACAGTTTGGTCCAAACTGAACTCATTTTCATAGCATTAAAAATGAATTAATACTTCCGAAAAGTGAAATGAAGTGGAAGGAAAACTAAATTGATTTATGGCAATAATACTAATGAACGCATGAATAATGAACACTTGTAAATTTTACAGAAAGGCACTAGTTTAGAGAATTCAAATCACACTAACATACTTATCAAAAGAAATAATTTAATGAAATATTAATGTATGACAGTTAATGCGCTGCTCTGCATGGAGACAGTACTTCTGAACTGATTATACTTCTGAATTTTCTCCCAACTTCTCTTCACTGTGTTTTATACTTGGAATTGTTCTGTATGAAATTAGTCTACGGCTTTCAAGATGCTGCCCGTCATAATTCAGGACTTAAATTTATTAAGGAGTGATTGATTTAGCTGCTGCTCGACACAGATGTTATTCTTGAGCTCATGTTAAACCTACAAGTACCTAAAACAAGCATACACAGAATAAATAAGAAGAAAAGACACAGGAATCTGCAAATATCGGAATATAGGAAGCGGCAAAGTGACATTTTGGCCAGTCCTCACAACTTCAAAGAGCTTTTTGAAGGTGAAGACTTGGTTTTCCAGTTCAGGTTAGAATTAGGTTTAGGCATTTAGTTGTGATGGTTAAGCTTAGAGTAAGGGGGTAGGAAATGTATTATGTCGATGAGCGTCCTCACAGCTAAGTTAAGACAGGAATGTTTGTGGGTTAGATTTGCTTTCTAATTTGAACATCACGCAGTTTGTATCAAACCACACACAAAGAACATCAGTGTTCATGAAGAAAGTCTAGACTTATAAACATCAACAGAAACAGCATTTAAATAAAATGTGTTATTTTTGGTTCTAATAATAATTGAATGTGAACTATTGTACAAATGGCAAAAAATGACATTTAAGCTACAGAAGGGTCTGACAGCTGTATATCGGTCGAAATGTACTGTGAAGATTACTAACCCGCAATTAAACCATTATAGAAGTCTGAACAGGATGTAACAGACGGGCTGAATAAATGACTTGAAATGACAGGGTTGATCTTTGCAACACAATGAATAGAAAATACTGTAACTACACCACCATGCTCATTGAAATGAAAGCAAGAAGCACTATATAAAGACCATGACACACAGGCATCACATGGAGCCCGGCGTAAAAGGTTCAGGACCTGTGATTTAAATTTCTGTCCTCGCCTCCGACTGGAGATCTTTGAACGATTGTCCCCCTGATGTCAAGAAGACAATTATGTAAAACAGACAGGCTGCCTAAGTCCTCTGGGCTAAAGGAAGGAACAATTGTGTTTATGAAAGAATGTGTCATACTGTCCAGTAATGTAACCCACTGGTAAAAAATGGTGGAAACAAATCTAGAGTGACAAGCTACCACTTCACTAATAAGTGCCCTAGAAGAAGATCACTCTTCTCTAGATTTCAGTCGTTAACAATCTGATGCGTCACCTTGCATCATGAGGTGCAAGCAAAACTCAAGGAGTGACTTCACAAGTACTGAAAGCCTCATGTGAACCACTTCCTCAGTCGAGCCTCAACAGAGAAACTGAAAATTCAATCATGTTAATTCCTCTTCTTAATAAAATACTGTTGTGACTCCATCTGGTGTGTATGTGCCTGTTTTGTGCGTGTGTGTGTGTGTGTGTGTGTGTGTGTGTGTGTGTGTGTGTGTCTCTGTGTAGAGCATTAGACACAAAAGCTTCAGTATCAAGATTTGAAAGTGTGTATGTGTGTGGGTGAGTGGGGTGGGGGGCAGGAGGCTGTAAGACCTTGATTAAAGTGAGTTTCTGAGCAGACAGACTATCAGGCGGTTTTAAGCCCTTATTCCTTCACTC